TCTGTGTCAGTGTGTATCAGGGATCCTTAGGACAGGTGTCAATCCATATCTGCCAAGTGACCCTATGTAAAAAAGGCCTGATGAGATGAACTGCCTTGGGCTAAAAATGGTCCACACGCTGCTGTATTTTAGCTCTGAATGCCTGTTGACTTGCGTGACTTATCCGCCACCAACTTGAGTTCAAGCCGCCAGTGTGTACTTTATAAATGGCTTTATAAAGCAGTGTGTACTTTATAAATGGCTCCACCTGCCACCCGTACAGCAACACAGTCTCCAGTTAGGAGGACCAACCAACATCTTCTTCCATCTGCCTGTTACAGAAATTACTGCCGTGTACACGACCACTGATAGGAGACGCGGAAGGTATTAAACTGATAAAAATAGTACTAAACACACCACTCCTATCTGGTGTCACATTAGCTTGACCGCGCAGTGCCCCAAATTTGCAGTAAGAGGACCGACCAAGCCTCTTCTTCCATCTCCCTATTACAAAAATCAATGCCGTGTACACGTCCACTGATAGGAGACGCGGAAGGTATTAAACTGATAAAAATAGTACTAAACACACCACTCCTATCTGGTGTCACATTAGCTTGACCGCGCAGTGCCCCAAATTTGCAGTAAGAGGACCGACCAAGCCTCTTCTTCCATCTCCCTGTTACAAAAATCAATGCCGTGTACACGTCCACTGATAGGAGACGCGGAAGGTATTAAACTGATAAAAATAGTACTAAACACACCACTCCTATCTGGTGTCACATTAGCTTGACCGCGCAGTGCCCCAAATTTGCAGTAAGAGGACCAACCAAGCCTCTTCTTCCATCTCCCTGTTACAAAAATCAATGCCGTGTACACGTCCACTGATAGGAGACGCGGAAGGTATTAAACTGATAAAAATAGTACTAAACACACCACTACTATCTGGTGTCACATTAGCTTGACCGCGCAGTGCCCCAAATTTAATGTGATCTGTGAGTAAGGTAAACGGTTGTCCATACAAATAGGTTGCAGCTTTTTGAGGGCCCACACCACCGCCATGCACTCCTTTTCAATGGCAGTGAATATACTCCGCTGTGCAAAAGTTTACGGCTTAGATAAAAATCAATGCCGTGTACACGTCCACTGATAGGAGACGCGGAAGGTATTAAACTGATCAGAACAATACTAAACACACCACTCTTTTTTTTTTGGTGAGGCTTTACAGGACAGAGTGCTTCTCCACGGGACATGTTAACTCATGGGCAGCTGGCTCATCAAGGAACCACAGCAGCTTTCCATGTACAGGTAAGACACGTGCAGCCGGTAAGGGTTCAGGCTCTTCTTCCTGGAGGATACTGCAAGCCTGTTGAACGAGGTGACCTTGCTCGGGTCCCAGGTGTGCGGTTCCTAAAATGGCTGCCATATACACGTCCACTGATAGGAGACGCGAAGGTATTAAACTGATCAAACAATACTAAACACACCACAAATAAGGTTTCTCTCCTGTATGGCTCCTCAAATGATGCTTAAGATTAGAAGCGGCTGAAAAGCATTTCTCACACTCCGAACAAAAATATATTTTTTTAACATTCTCTCCACTTTGAACGAAATGACGTTTGGGAAGAGATTAACATAATTAAACACAGGCAGTAAAAATACAGTTTTTAGCCATACCCTGTAACTTTAAAACTACACATCCCATCTTCATAATTACATATTTGGAATCAGCACACTTAAAACATAAACATAACCAAAAATCAGCCAAATCCATCCAGGGGTTAAAAAGTTAGCTGGAGGTCCCTTTATGACCGACCGCAAGCACATTTTCCTGCCCAAAACAGTTCCATAGATTTGGGCTGTGAGGTCGGTCTATTTCAGGCTGAAAAAACGACTAAGTCCCATCGCGAATGGGACTTAGTCTCTGCAGCTGAAATAAGGCTGAAAAAAACGGCTGAAAAAAAGACTAAGTCCCATCTCTGCAGCTGAAATAATTTCCCATTTACTGAACCATGTGGGAAATAGTCAGGCAGGCACAAAGGGTTTGCACCAGGTCTGGGGACACAGGGGACACCGTCTTAAAGGGGCCGTGTCCCCAACAAGTCTGGGGACAGGGCCTTAAAGGGGCAGTGTCCCAATCTTCCTGATGTCCCAAAAAAGGTGTTTAAAGGGCCAGCACCAGTCACATAAAGAGTCCATAAGCCCCAATATGCCCACCGACAGTCTTAAAGGCCATACACACCAAATAAAAGTGCATACATTTTCACAATCTCCCAGGGCCATAGTCATGCGGGAGGAGGCTGGCAAATAGGCTTCTCCACAACCCAGGGAAGCAGGGCAATTTGCCATTTAAAGGGCCCGTTACAAATAGCAGTTTGTAACAAGGTGTCAATCCATATCTGCCAAGTGACCCTATGTAGGGGGACCAGTCCCTATTCTGCTCTGTGTCAGGGTGTATCAGGGAACCTTAGGACAGGTGTCAATCCATATCTGCCAAGTGACCCGATGTAGGGGGAACAGTCCCTATTCTGCTCTGTGTCAGTGTGTATCAGGGATCCTTAGGACAGGTGTCAATCCATATCTGCCAAGTGACCCTATGTAGGGGGACCAGTCTCTATTCTGCTCTGTGTCCGTGTGCATCAGGGGCTCTGAGGACAGGTGTCAATCCATATGTCAAGGTGTCAATATGTCATATGTCAGGTGTCAATCCATATTGATTGTGATTTAGGAATGTTAGGTGATTTCTGCCCTTTATGGATTAAAACCAGACTCTGTATCAACTGTGTAATTTTCCATGGGAGTTTTGCCATGGATCCCCCTCCGGCATGCCACAGTCCAGGTGTTAGTCCCCTTGAAACAACTTTTCCATCCCTATTGTGGCCAGAAAGAGTCCCTGTGTGTTTTAAAATTCGCCTCCCCATTGAAGTCAATGGCGTTTCGGGCGGTTCGCCGGTTCGCGAACATTTGCGGAAGTTCGCGTTCGCCCCTTCGCGAACCGAAAATTTCGGGTTCGTGACATCACTATTTGTAAACTGTACCTTGGAGTTGAACTCTAGTTGGTAGCCTCAGTATATGATATTCAAGACCCATGTCTAGGGCTGTGACCTCTTAAACCTCTTGGAACAGGAGCAGACATGCCCATACTCCTCCAGGCTTGGTGAGCAATCCATAAGAAGGTTCTGGGATTCTTGACTGACGTTTTCCCTCTGAATTTATTGCCTTTGTCTAAATACTGGCCACCTCTCCATATTCTCTGCAGGGATGGTATGATCTGTTATTACGAAAGAAAGATCTTCATTCTTCTGCAACTGTCTGGATGCGCATGTCCAGGTGTTTTTCAAAAGGCATCTCTCCTGCAATGGCAGTGAACAAAGACCCTTTTTGTAGGAGGCCTCTTCTGCCCATTCTCTTAAAGGTATCTTCTAGCTAAAACTGATATAGAAGTACCATCTGCTAGATTGGCTTTGGATAAGCTCATCCTATGAACCATATAGTGTCTGAGAGAACCTGCATTGACCACAAGTAAGATGGTATGATTGGCCAATGTCACTGGAGT